GTAGGGAAAAGCATGTAATTAATTTTTGTAAGTACTCAAAAAACAGTGCAACTGAGAAGAGCAATCATAGCATCTGTACTACATCGAGGATGTGCTTCCTTCAGTTTAAGGGACATTTCCCAAAATGACCAACCAAATCATTTCAGTAACCTTTTAAACCAGTAGTGTCAATAGAGGATTCCATTAAAACTGGTCTTATGAACACATTAACTGTGTTCAGATTTTCTTAGACTAGCGAGGTTCTATTTAGTGTCTAAATCTTCTCATAATGAAATAGAGTCAGGAACTATGAAATAAACTCTGAAAATCGTTACTAGGTGCAAAGCCTTTATTAGGGCTGTTATATACAAGCCTGGAAACGGTCTCTTCCCTGTGAAAAATACAGCTGTTTTACACTTAGGGCAACTTGTAAACCTCGTTTGTTTTGGACCGAATTGTCCCAATAAGTCATTTATTTCCAGTGAACCTGTCACGATAAGTGGTCTAACCTCTGAATTTTATTAGTTGGCTGTTACCATCGCACTAATAGACAGTCTCCATTTTCCACAGAATAAAACTGTAATGACTGTTGATCATTTTCTAGTTCAATCTCTCTGCCCGGCATCTAAAATTAGACAAAGGGGTGGGGGTGATTAAGACAGATGTGGCAAAACCTCCCCCCAACAAAGATGTATGGTTTCCATTTAGAATCAGACCATGTTACGTAGAGACATAGCTTAGTAGCAAGTCATACTGTGGGGAACTTGACTTTGTGTTTTGCTGGGCAACTTACTTTGGGACTTTCATAGGACAACAGAAGTTCTGACACAGGAACTTTGAGAAGACGTGACAGCAAGCCTTTCACCTTTTGAATTGTCATGGATTCTATCAAGGAAAAGAAAAACCATCAAGTTCTCTCAAAGGACAGTTACCTGTAAAATGAGCTCACGTGACAAGACCACAACTGTAATGACAGCTGTCACTGTCATTTCAGTAATACTATCAATTTACCCAGGTAAATGATCAGGGAACAGCTCACCCACCACGTGGGCCACCAGATCAGTGTCACCATTTAGGGGGTCGTTTGGGAGTCTGGGGGAAACGGAGCCGATGATTGACCTAAGTGCCCTTTGATGATGAGTTTTCATACCATTTCAGTGGTGTTTAGTAGTTCCTCCTTAACCTGAATAAACCAGAAATCATATTCTCAGCACAGAAGAATAAACGTGAGTGAAATCATTAACTTTTTAAACCTTCGTGCTTGCTTACTTACGAGGTACTGAGAGAACGCTGGCGTGGGGCTTGGGTGCCATGAGGACGCGTCTCTGTCTCTCTGGCTTTAGTTTCCTCCTCTGTAAAGTGAGGTGTAGACTAATGATCCACAAGCCCCCTTCCAGCGCTCCCAGTCTGTAATCATTGTGGTTTATGTGTGTAATGCGATACACATACAGGGGACTACCAGGCATGGCAATGTAACTTAATGAGGAAGAGCTTTGGTTTGTTCAGAAAACACTATGAACTTCTCTCCAAAGATGGGTGTGGTAAATACTGGATGTCTGATTATGAGCAATACAGTTTCTTTGAAGCTTTAGCTGGAGGTACAGCAATAGTGTGGTGTTCCTACAACGATCACATGTATTCAAAGAAATATTTTTCTATGAAAAATAATTTTTGTAAAAGCTGTTTTTATGCAACTTGTGATAATAAATGTTATCTTTATTTTAGAATAAAAACTGGCCCTTTTCTTGTTTATGTATTGCATATAGACACTAAATAGACTACAGTGTCGATTAACATAATTTGCTCTTTTATTTGTGAATATATGATAGATAATCTTGTCCTTTCAAAAGATTTAGGTGGACTGGCTTTCCTTGTGCAGAGGGTGGTTAGTGCTGGCTTAACTCTGACTGCTGACTTCAGAGAATATAGGACTCAGATTTGGAATCGCTTGAAGCATAATTATGACGTATAATTTCTCTAGATTATTCTAATCTCTGCTAGTTCCACCTGAGGATGAATAAAACTCAAGACCATGAACACCGTGGGAGGTCGGGGAGGAGCCATCAGCCCGGGACGGCGCTCATTTGTGCTCTCCACAGTGCCTGACCCAGCAGGCTCTGCGCCTTCCCAGGGGAAGTCCAGAAAAGGAAACTTAACACAGCCCTAGCGAGAACATTCTTGAGCACGTTCCCACAAGTTGATTTCACATAAGAGAAGGAAAAGTGCAAACATGTCCAAAGCTAACTGCTTTTAACAGAAAGTCCTGGCCCTCTCCCACTCGTCTGTCCCCATGCATGCCCTTACTGACAGAAGTTAAGTCTGAAAACAGAATAATGAAGCGGGGACCACTCATTTTAATTCATCATTATGTAACAGTGGCAACATTACACTTGACAGGCATAGAAACTAAAAATGGAGCAATACTAGTAAATTGATACTAGATGATGGTTCTGGATCATAAAGGTACTTCTTTGGGCACAACCAAAGCCTTCCGTAAGCAATACCATGATAAGCTTGTTTTATTTGATAAAAATGAATTAAAAAATCAATGTGAATTCACTGCACTGACAGGGAAACAGAAGGGTATTTCACTAGAGTCATTTACGGTAATAGATATTTTATTTCTTCTTCAAATCCTCACTGTGCTAAATTTAAGCTGTTTATATTTTAGTATTTAACTGTGAATCAAGTTTAATCTTGAGATTCAGACTGTAATTTTTCTTTTGACTGACAGTTTAAGGTAAGTTACATTGATCTAATTTGTTGACATAAATCAGTTCCAACAGCATCAAGGTTTAAAGTTCTGAAGTAAGTAGTTTTTTTAAAGAAAACCATTTCCAGTGTGTCCATTCAAACGGCGTCCAAGAGCTGTCTCTGCAGGGGCTCCTGACTGGTAAGGAATAGAAAGCACCCAAGCCCGGTGGCAGAACATCCCCGGCCAAGGAAAGCCCCCGCAGCAGCAGTGTGAGAACTAACCTGCAGAGGGCCTGGGGGAGGCCCCGAAGGGCGAGCACTCCCATGCTACTGCCTCTGGCTGAAGAGGCAACCACGACAAAGCTGTTCTCTAGATGAGCTGAAAGTATTGTGAGACTTGAACTTTCAGGGGGGAGTGATGTTATTAGCATGGTGTTAGCATTTTAGAACGTAAAAGCTAGTGAAAACCTATAAGCTGTAAGAGCCCACAACTTCAGAAATGAATGAAATGTTTTACCTCCAGCCACCTCGAGTTGAGGGGCCAGCGATTCAGAAGCATGAGGAGGAGCGAGAGAGAGAGAGAGAGAGAGAGAGAGAGAGAGAGAGAGAGAGAGAGAGAGAGAGAGACTCTTCTTACCTGGCAGTTGTTTCTCTATGACTTTCTGATCAAGTTGATTAGGATATTTTATCTTCAGTGCTTGAAAGAAAAAAGGAAAGAGACGAATTGAGCCCTGCTGTAGGAAGGATTTACATCACATGCACATTACCAGCCATGGCCAAAGGATGCAGCTCTTCATACAACTTGGCTCAAATCCCACTAAAGGAACAGATGCTTATTGATGTTTAAAATTCCTTCTATTAATACTTCACTGAATTACAACAACAAAAAAGAGCTGGACCAACATCCTATGGCTTTCCTGTTTCTCCTTAGTACTTCTTTCCTGACGTTTTATCTAGGTTTTCAAGTGTAAGAAAAGCCACGAATTTCCAAATCACAGTTCAGTTCACTACTCAGATACTTCCCACATGTGCAAAACTGTTAAATGAGTTTAAAGAATGGGGACTGCTAACATGTTCAAAGTCAGAATTTAGATATGTTTGAGAGTCATCATTTCTTTAAAAATTGAACTACTCCTCTAGGTACTTACTTAAAAGAAACAATCCCTATTAGGTCATCACTATTTCAGCATCTAAGGACTTGAACACAAATAAGCGGTCTTTGAATGTGGGGTTCTTACTTAGTAGCTGGTTTTTGAGCAAAAATGGTTGTTGCACTTTGAGTTCCCCATCTTCAGGTGCACCATATTCTGTTTAAGGAGAAATGAAAAAGGATGAATGATAAACCAAAAGGCCACTGTAAGGGAAAAAAAAATGTACAGGTTAAGTGTCAACCTAGCCTTTTCCTTTCCCAGGATGAACCCAGCAGCAGCTGGATGCGAACCTGGGATCTGCTTCCTTTTATTTGGTTACTGGTTTAGTGTATTTTTTGGAGGGATGGACAGACAGCAACGGCTGCCAAGCCTGGAACCCTCCTGTCTTCTGTGCATCCCATCACTGATCCCTAGAGACAAGAAGAGGCTGTGCCTGCAAATACTTAGAACGCTGACGCGAGTTTCACCTTTGGTCATAGTTCCCTTTCTTTCTGGGACCTGAGAGAAACTCGACTCACAAACACCTTCACCAGGTTTCAGCCAGTTCGTGCAGTGCTGCTCTGGGCGCTCAGAACCACCGCTGCAAACCAGGTCCCCTGCCAGGAAATGCAGCCTCTACGTAAGGTGTAAGGAAAGCAGCCCCCTTCTCCTCTCACTTCTGCCAGTACCACCAGGGACAAGATGTCTATAAATACCCTCCACGCTCTGCTTTGTATTCTACATTCTTAGTGGGGAGATAGTGAGCCATACCTGCAGGGCTGCTTTAGAGCCTTCCCTGCCCTGCCCCCGAGTGATTTAGAATTCACCTCAAGTGGCCAGGAAATCGGGCCAGCTAATGGAGTCATTTGAAAGCAGTTCCCACGGGCAGCTTCTCTTCCTTAAAGATAGTGTTCCAGCCTGAAGTGTTTATGCAGTGAGCTTCTCACATTATTAAATATATAAAAAAGAAAACTGCATAAGAGGGAAATTTGGAATAATAATGAAATCGAAATGGAAAGTACATCAGGGACAAAGAGTCCTGAAGTCGGAGCTTCAGTATCCAAGGAGCCAGGCTGGAGGTCAGAAAGCGCCTTGCACACCAAGCGCCAGGGCTGGTGAGCCCTCCAAACAGAGCACTCAGGAAAGCTACACTCAGCTCTCATGAACGTTAAAATTACCTGGGGAGCTTAAAAAATACCAACGCCTAGGTTCCACATTAAATGCTCATCATTTAAACCATTCCCTAGGGTACAGCCAGGGTTGAGATAACCTGGAGGCCTTCCTGCCCTTCCTAAAGTAGGAAGTGGGACCCACCTCCTGGAATCGAAAGTTCATTGAGTAAATGCTAAGATGAGAAGAACTTCTGTTTAAGAGCTACTTTCCCCTCCTCCTTCTGCTAAGAGATGCTGCAGATTTATCTTCTCTAAAGACAACTCTTAAATTAATTATCTGCTCCCAACTAGCTGCTAGAGCCCCTACTGTCCATTTAGATGAGTATAACAAAGCCCCAGTGGAGAAAACAACACTGAGGACCTCCTTTGACACCCAAAGGGAACTGTGTCCTAGTGGACAGTCCCCCCCGCAGCCCCGTGAGGGCCCTGGTGCACAGTACGTACTGAGGCAGAGCGACTGGTATCTAGGATGGGCTGCAAGAAATTCCTCGTTTGGTCTGTTTTTGTCTGGATCTTGATGTCCACCAGCCTTTTTCCATTCATTTCCGAATGCTTTTCGGTAATCAAGCTCAGCCCCACGCCTTTCCTCTCGTTGAATCTATATGGATGTGAAATAAAAGCAGGTCTATTAAAGCACTTTTCTAACGAGTGTGTCTGACACCCTCTCCTTTCTCCACTGCCTACCCATAGAGAATAATTAAACTGAAAGGAACAAGACAATATATTTCTACCTTGCCTTTTTAATGTTAACAGGATCCAGGAGTTTCTTCAAAAAGAAAAGTGGATTTCAGTTTTATCCTTTTCTTCATGGAAGTATCTGGACTATGCCTGGGGCCCAAGGTCACAACATGAGGTCCTCAGCCTGGAGGAGCTGACTTACTCAGAGTACCCAGTATTCCTCCCCTGCCTCAAATGACAAAAACTGGGCCTGCCAGGGCAGCTGAGCAGCGGTTTTCCCTGCAGGCATCTGAATGTGACACCACCTCCCGAGGAGCTGGAAAAAACTGCCATTGAGAGGAAATAATACTTACCATGGGGAGGAAACGACATCTGATACCCTTTACGGTCTTCCACTGTAACTTCTCTTTACACTGGACCGTTTGGTTTCTAGTTTAAGAAACACCTTGTCAGGACACCAGTACTCACCGCACACTTGTTCAGGGTCCTCAGCTGACCGATCCTGGCAATGATGAACTGCCGTGTGGTCTGTGCATCTTTG